CGAATATCAGGTTCTGTATTAAGACGCGACCGGTATTTAGTTTTGGTCATAAGATAAGCAGAAAATCCAGCTTCACATAAATAAGTAGTAGCAAAAGGGAGCAGAATAGTTTTTGCTTTATCTGACAGAAGATGAAATTCATGTCTAAGTTTACACCAAAATTCTATTATTGATGACTTTGTTAGAAATATATCTCGTATTCCAGAATCAGATGTCAAGTCGATCAAACATTCATATTCTTCAGATGTTAAACTCGCTGGCTTTTCAGGTATTGCGTTATATGGGTTTGCAACCCAAGAATTGTAATTCATTTTGTCATGAAATTCTTCTGGAAAATATTCCTGGTAATTATTGCGTAAAGTTTCAAGATGAATATAGAACTCGTTCATAAGATCATTTGGTAGATCAAAATCAAATTCTTCTTTAAGTTCTTTTAACGACGGAAAGCTGTCCAAATTTTGTTTATTCAGGGACTCTGCCCAAAAGACCAATTTTCTTTTAAACGCTTTTATTCTGTCGTTAACATCAAAAACAGAAATTGACTTTCCTTGAAGTGACGTGCTTAAATCATTAGCTTTAGAAAAAATATCAGCCAGATATGCCAACTTTGATATCCATTGCTCTTCGTTAAATCTCCCTTTTAATGCGAAGTCACTTTCCATCAAAAAACTCCTTACTTCGGCTCTTAATTCAAATAGCCGAGTTAAAGTTTTGCCCCGTGAGAGCCATCTTACCTCCGTATGAAGCAGTAAAGTCGTATGTAGACTACCCATATCATCACACAATATTTTAAACAACCTGGAATTTAGGGGGCGAGATTTGATATAATTAATTATTCTTACACATTCATCCAAAACTTCTTTTAAGGAAGGTGACATTTTTTTGACGGCTAATGCATGACGATGAAGAACACAGTGACTATTATTGCAGTTACTATTTTTTTCTTTAATTCTAGCTACAACACCACTTGTTTTTCCAGTCATAGCCTTTGCGCCATCGGTGCATACATCAATGCAATTCTTCCAAGGTATATCATGTGCAACAAAAAATTCGTCAAGCAATTTGAAAATCTCAGCCCCAGTAGTACTAGTTGGTAGTGGCTTGCAAAAAAGCAAATCTTCTTGAAAAGTGTTGCCAAATTGGAAGCGAACAAAAACTATCAATACAGCCAATCCAGCCACATCTGTCGATTCATCAAGCTGTAGCGAAAAGGAACTACCTTTTATTCGAGAAATTAAAGTGTTTTTTACGTCATCAGCCATTTCTACAATGCGCCTAGAAATAGTGTTATTTGATAGTGGAACTGTAGTAACTAGTTTCACATCCTTTTCATCCATCATAGTTTCAACTATATCTTTGACGCAAGGCTTGATTAAAGTTTCAGCAATAACATGAGGCTTGCCTGCTTTAGCGATTCGGTAACTAACTAAGTAGGATGCTTTTAACGACCTTTCGTTCAGTGTCTGTGCATGAAAAGTTATACTTTTTTGTGTATTTTTTAATTCACTGGATTTTCTTTGAAAAAATCATTCGGTTTGTCTTTACATTCAGGATGAACTCCTTCCAAATGTCGTCGCATTTTCGCTGGAAACATAGCACTGTTGGGTAACACTTTACCGCATATTACACATTGTGGTTTATTGTCGTTGGTTTCAATGAATCCTATATCCAGATAAGAATCATGGTATTTTCGTTTTGCAGTTTTTCTCTCACAAATACTCATCTTTGATGGACCAGATGTTTGACAATCAATTACTTCAGCTGATGTTAGTACACTCGCAACAGACTCGGATTTTCTCAATATCTGCAATTCTGTGTCTTCAGTGTGAGCTATTTCCCTATTTTCTTTTTCCATATTGCTAAAAACAATACTCGATTCAGACAAATACTTTTAAAAATAAGATTTTAAAAATCTGGCACCTACCCGTTCCCAAAAAACTCACACACAAGCACAAAAAACTGCTTTTGTAGTAGGGGAAATATGCCTAAAACGAAATATGCGTTGCCACTTATACAGTAATTTTTATTTCACGTCAAACGTAAGTATCCCATTTTACCAGTATTTCCCCTACCTTAAAATGTACAAATCCGTACCTGTTGGAGTTAGATCCCTGCATTTCTGCATCTGTAGCTGAAATCGCTGTTTTCTTCAAAACACCTGTTTTAAGCCAAAGATCCATTATAAAACAAGTAAATTTAACCTGGGAATAGATATTTCACCATAAAAAATGATACATGTATGTTAGTTAACCTACTTACGAATGATAACTTATCCCAACTTCAATTCAATTAGTGAAATTCAAAGGCACAATCGCAAAAAATAAATAAAAACTGTGTTATCTCTTTACGATGCACCCGACACACATTTAGCGAACGTAAATCGTATGTTCCGGAAAGAACAAGTCATATCCTAGCATTAATACGAAAAAATACGATTGTTTCCGAACTGTTCCGGCGCACAGTACATTGAAGTGCGGCGCGGCGAATCTTTGCATTAGTAAGGGGCTTGATGTAACATCAAGGAAAATATAACATTATAGGTATTACTTGAATACGATATTTCTCAGATGAAATCCGCGGAGCACTTGAAAACGTACCACGGAGCACCTTGTGCTCCGCGGAGCACAGTTTGGGAACCGCTGTACTAGAGGATCTCCTACTACTCCTCTTACGTTGGAGACGTCGCGCAGTGGTTCTACGTCTGCGGCGTTGACTGCAACTGTGTTTTCTTCGACGCAGACAATTTTCAATACCAGTCAATATATTAGTTTCTTCACTTTATGAGAAATTTGTGAAATTCAATGGACCTTTCACCTAGCGCTTCTTTCGAGGATTATTTTACGGCAGATGTACAATTTATTGTAGATAAATAATAACATTGCTATCCCTGCTGTTATGCAATAATACCTTCCAACCAATAATCTAATAATATTTTCCCTCAAATTTAAGCTGCAGCATTTTCCACAGTATCTGCAATCTTAAATATTGTCAAGATGAGACACCAAATTGGAAATACAATATTATTTTTCATCCACCAGACATACGAAACGACACATTTGGATCTCCACCTCCTTCGGCGTCTTCTTTTACTGCGTCTTCTTCTGGTCCTACTGGGTTTGCGTCGCTTTCTCCTGCTACGACTTTTTACGTCGTCCTCTTACAAGCTTCAGCGTAATATTTTTGATTATCCCTACGTGACATTTTACACCAACATTTTGCGTATTCAACCGCCACTCCTTCCTGAACCGACGGAAATAGTTCAAGAAAGGATTGCTGGTGATCAGACCCTGGCGATGGCAGTTTTTACTAGAGGATCTCCTACGACTCCTCTTACGACAGAGACGTCGCACAGAGAGAGGTTCTACGTCTGCGGCGTTGACTGCAACTGTGTTTTCTTTGACGCAGACAATTTTCAATACGACTCAATATATTAGTTTCTTCACTTTATGAGAAATTTGTGAAATTCAATGGACCTTTCACCTAGCGCTTTTTTCGAGGATTATTTTACGGCAGATGTACAATTTATTGTAGATAAATAATAACATTGCTATCCCTGCTGTTATGCAATAATACCTTCCAACCAATAATCTAATAAAATTTTCCCTCAAATATTGTCATGATGAGACATCAAATTGGAAAGACAATATTATTTTTCATCCACCAGACATACGAAACGGCACATTTGGATCTCCACCTCCTTCGGCGTCTTCTTTTACTGCGTCTTCTTCTGGTCCTACTGGGTTTGCGTCGCTTTCTCCTGCTACGACTTTTTACGTCGTCCTCTTACAAGCTTCAGCGTAATATTTTTGATTATCCCTACGTGACATTTTACACCAACATTTTGCGTATTCAACCGCCACTCCTTCCTGAACCGACGGAAATAGTTCAAGAAAGGATTGCTGGTGATCAGACCCTGGCGATGGCAGTTTTTACTAGAGGATCTCCTACGACTCCTCTTACGACAGAGACGTCGCACAGAGAGAGGTTCTACGTCTGCGGCGTTGACTGCAACTGTGTTTTCTTTGACGCAGACAATTTTCAATACGACTCAATATATTAGTTTCTTCACTTTATGAGAAATTTGTGAAATTCAATGGACCTTTCACCTAGCGCTTCTTTCGAGGATTATTTTACGGCAGATGTACAATTTATTGTAGATAAATAATAACATTGCTATCCCTGCTGTTATGCAATAATACCTTCCAACCAATAATCTAATAAAATTTTCCCTCAAATATTGTCATGATGAGACAGCAAATTGGAAAGACAATATTATTTTTCATCCACCAGACATACGAAACGACACATTTGGATCTCCACCTCCTTCGGCGTCTTCTTTTACTGCGTCTTCTTCTGGTCCTACTGGGCTTGCGTCGCTTTCTCCTGCTACGACTTTCTACGTCGTCCTCTTACAAGCTTCAGCGTAATATTTTTGATTATCCCTACGTGACATTTTACACCAACATTTTGCGTATTCAACCGCCACTCCTTCCTGAACCGACGGAAATAGTTCAAGAAAGGATTGCTGGTGATCAGACCCTGGCGATGGCAGTTTTTACTAGAGGATCTCCTACGACTCCTCTTACGACAGAGACGTCGCACAGAGAGAGGTTCTACGTCTGCGGCGTTGACTACAACTGTGTTTTCTTCGACGCAGACAATTTTCAATACGACTCAATATATTAGTTTCTTTACTTTATGAGAAATTTGTGAAATTCAATGGACCTTTCACCTAGCGCTTTTTTCGAGGATTATTTTACGGCAGATGTAAGGTAAAGTCGCCTAATATGAGACCCATTTTGGAAAACATCTATAATTTCTGTAAAAATAACAAATTTTAAGTTATTACTGATTTGTTTTATTGGTAAGGGTTTATGCTTTAAAAAACACGGAACGAAAGTGTACTTTTTTATTTATTTTTTCAAATAAAGCTACAATACTCATAAAATGTAAAAAGTAACTAAAAAAAATTGGGTTCCTAATATGAGACCCTACAAATTTCTTTCCAAATAACATTATTTAGAGTAAATAGACCATAAAAATACATTATATAGTTACTTTTTCTGTTTTTTTTCACACATTGGGCACACAAAGATAGGATCTTCTGCACCACAATCTTCATGGGCCCATCTGTAGCACACTGTACACCTAACCCACTGTTCACCATGCTTGTCTGCAGAATACATGCTTGTGCAGAAGAGGCATTCTGCGTCATAATTTTCGTCACCATCACTCTCATCATCAACAACAACTTCTCCCAAGTCATCGCTTTCATCAGTTGAGCTGTCACTTAAATCGGCCCTCTTCTTTTTAAACCGTTTAGTACTTTTTGGTTTGCGAAACTTTGCTTCCCTTGCATCGTCAAACTTAACCTTCTTTGTAACTGATGTAACTTTGCTATGTTTTGCGGAATCTTCCTTTTTACGTTTCTTATCCAAACTTTCTGTTAAATCATCTTTGTAAGGAGATGAGGTAATCAATGCTGCACTGCCTGCACGAGCACTGGGCTTCTTGCTCTTTATTTTGGGAAGAGGTTTTATCTGCACTGGACTGACAAGCTTTGTAGGTTCTGAAAGGTATTTGACGGCTTTACGAGAACTATTTACAGCCCCCTGATCATTGGACTCTTTTGAATTTCCCGGCCGTGGATCATCTGCGGCATCCTCAATATCGCTAGAATCTTTGGAAGTTCCCCCCTATCTAAAGCTGTTTTAATGCAACTGATACCTTCTGATTTTCCTGAAGTATATTCAATGTTTCTAGATTCTGTGGAAGATCCCGGTGGAGGACGACTTACAGTATCTTCAGGGACTGTTAATTTCTCCTCAACTTCGAACACTGAGAAGTCATGATCTCGGAAAATATTTCTATTAAGCGGAAATAGTCCCGTTGTTCTAAACGAGTTCACCGAAACCTCCATAGTGGCTGCTCTGTTATATGCAACTGAAAATAGTCTTGCAATGATAAATGGCGTGACAATACGATCAGGGTTGTTTCGCAGCCAAGTCTCAATTTCCTGAGCATAGTACGTTTTCAGAGGCCCCATGAATCCTACATCCAACGGTTGCATGCGATGTGTGCTGTGGGGAGGTAGGCAAACAATTGATACGTGGTTTTCTCTAGCTTTATTTATTACGTCTATGTTACGCGTATGGGAGTAGTGTCCATCGAGCACCAATAACACAGGATCTGATGGTGTTGGCTTTGTGAATTTAATAAAATGGTCAAACCATTGTGTAAATATTTCGGCTTGAATCCATCCAGAAGGGTGACATGCGTAAATGGAACCGGTTGGCGCACCGTCCATCAATTCAATTTTCATATTTTTTCTAGGCCACACAATTAAAGGCGGTACGTAAGTTCCTACGGCATTCATGCATGTCACCACTGTAATAAGGCCTCCCCTTTCAGCTGATGTAAGTGTTGCTACTTGCTTTTTACCTTTAGCAGAAATGACCTTACTTCTTTTATGTTGCACCACACTAATCCCTGTCTCATCCACGTTAAACAACCTTTGTGGTGCAAAATTGATTTTCGATAATTCCTTTTCGTACAAATCGAAGAATGAAGCAACGCTTTCTTGATTGAATCCCCGTATTCTGGCATTGGACATGCCTTGAGGTGACCTAACAGACAGCTGGGGATTACGTTTGAAAAATCCTCTAAGCCATTTTTTTCCTGCAACGCCTTTTTCCTGTGAAAATGGGTGCTGGATATTATTAGCAATTGCCAACTCGAAGGCCATGCGTTTTACATCAGATCTTCGCAGACCAAAAAACCTATTATCCATATCGAGACAGTATCGAACTAGCTCATCCTCGATAGCTTTTCCTAAAGCAGGTTTTCTACCAAGTGTTGTACGAACGAGTTCTTCAGGAGAAAAATTAATGTTTTTAACATAACGTTCAAGGGTACCTTTCGGTACTTGAAAATGTTTCGCCGCTGTCTTGTAACCCATGACATGAGTTCGAACTGCTTTAATCGCCAACACCATTTGCCCCTTGTTCCATTGTTTGCGACGTTTAGAAGAACTCCCCTGAAAAAATTCTATATAAATATCGGGGTCCTAATATGAGACCCTCCTCATAATGGGAACCCCAGAGGGTCTCATATTTGGAACCAACAACACATTTAGAAAAAAATTATAGGTTAGTTTGTTGTATTTCGAATGGATAAAGAAAAGGTGGGAATAAGACTACATTTGTTGTACTACATACAAATCATATTACAAACCAAAATATACTTACCATGATGATAAAGTAAATATATAAAGGGAAAACGGTAAAAAACTTCACAGTACAAATTTTAACAAATCTCGCATTAAACAGCTGTTAAATGAAATATTGCGCCATCTAGAGGAGAGGGCCCATACTATACCACTAGTAACCTGTAAATCATATGAATGTGGGCTTACAGGACTCTACAGAGACGATCATCTAGGGTCTCATATTAGGAACGGTCTCATATTAGGCGACTTTACCTTACAATTTATTGTAGATAAATAATAACATTGCTATCCCTGCTGTTATGCAATAATACCTTCCAACCAATAATCTAATAAAATTTTCCCTCAAATATTGTCATGATGAGACAGCAAATTGGAAAGACAATATTATTTTTCATCCACCAGACATACGAAACGACACATTTGGATCTCCACCTCCTTCGACGTCTTCTTTTACTGCGTCTTCTTCTGGTCCTACTGGGCTTGCGTCGCTTTCTCCTGCTACGACTTTCTACGTCGTCCTCTTACAAGCTTCAGCGTAATATTTTTGATTATCCCTACGTGACATTTTTACACCAACATTTTGCGTATTCAACCGCCACTCCTTCCTGAACCGACGGAAATAGTTCAAGAAAGGATTGCTGGTGATCAGACCCTGGCGATGGCAGTTTTTACTAGAGGATCTCCTACGACTCCTCTTACGACAGAGACGTCGCACAGAGAGAGGTTCTACGTCTGCGGCGTTGACTGCAACTGTGTTTTCTTTGACGCAGACAATTTTCAATACGACTCAATATATTAGTTTCTTCACTTTATGAGAAATTTGTGAAATTCAATGGACCTTTCACCTAGCGCTTCTTTCGAGGATTATTTTACGGCAGATGTACAATTTATTGTAGATAAATTGTTGTGTATAGTGGACTGTATTTTTATTGATTACATTTATGTTTTTGTTCAATGTATTGTATGTACATTTCATGAGAAACTGTCGTAATTGAAAAATTGTCTATACCGAACAGATTTTCTGGTTATGGTCAAAATGGTAGCTTCTTCCGGCCTCTCTCCTGGTCGCTCCGAGAGGAAGGCATCCCATTGGACCGTTCAAATTCAACGGTCTTCCGGTCGGCAGTGGTAGGCTGCGCGCTGGATGGTGGCGCGCTCCTGCGGGAGATGGTCGAAACCCATTTTGCCAGTGGCGTAGCACATACATAAATAATAACATTGCTATCCCTGCTGTTATGCAATAATACCTTCCAACCAATAATCTAATAAAATTTTCCCTCAAATATTGTCATGATGAGACAGCAAATTGGAAAGACAATATTATTTTTCATCCACCAGACATACGAAACGACACATTTGGATCTCCACCTCCTTCGGCGTCTTCTTTTACTGCGTCTTCTTCTGGTCCTACTGGGCTTGCGTCGCTTTCTCCTGCTACGACTTTCTACGTCGTCCTCTTACAAGCTTCAGCGTAATATTTTTGATTATCCCTACGTGACATTTTACACCAACATTTTGCGTATTCAACCGCCACTCCTTCCTGAACCGACGGAAATAGTTCAAGAAAGGATTGCTGGTGATCAGACCCTGGCGATGGCAGTTTTTACTAGAGGATCTCCTACGACTCCTCTTACGACAGAGACGTCGCACAGAGAGAGGTTCTACGTCTGCGGCGTTGACTGCAACTGTGTTTTCTTTGACGCAGACAATTTTCAATACGACTCAATATATTAGTTTCTTCACTTTATGAGAAATTTGTGAAATTCAATGGACCTTTCACCTAGCGCTTCTTTCGAGGATTATTTTACGGCAGATGTACAATTTATTGTAGATAAATAATAACATTGCTATCCCTGCTGTTATGCAATAATACCTTCCAACCAATAATCTAATAAAATTTTCCCTCAAATATTGTCATGATGAGACAGCAAATTGGAAAGACAATATTATTTTTCATCCACCAGACATACGAAACGACACATTTGGATCTCCACCTCCTTCGGCGTCTTCTTTACTGCGTCTTCTTCTGGTCCTACTGGGTTGCGTCGCTTTCTCCTGCTACGCCTTTTTACGTCGTCCTCTTACAAGCTTCAGCGTAATATTTTTGATTATCCCTACGTGACATTTTACACCAACATTTTGCGTATTCAACCGCCACTCCTTCCTGAACCGACGGAAATAGTTCAAGAAAGGATTGCTGGTGATCAGAACCCTGGCGATGGACAGTTTTCTACTAGAGGATCTCCTACTACTCCTCTTACGTTGGAGACGTCGCGCAGAGGGTCTACGTCTGCGGCGTTGACTGCAACTGTGTTTTCTTCTCGACGCAGACAATTTTCAATACGACTCAATATATTAGTTTCTTCACTTTATGAGAAATTTGTGAAATTCAATGGACCTTTCACCTAGCGCTTTTCTTTCGAGGATTATTTTACGGCAGATGTACAATTTATTGTAGATAAATAATAACATTGCTATCCCTGCTGTTATGCAATAATACCTTCCAACCAATAATCTAATAAAATTTTCCCTCAAATATTGTCATGATGAGACAGCAAATTGAAAGACAATATTATTTTTCATCCACCAGACATACGAAACGACACATTTGGATCTCCACCTCCTTCGACGTCTTCTTTTACTGCGTCTTCTTCTGGTCCTACTGGGCTTGCGTCGCTTTCTCCGCTACGACTTTCTACGTCGTCCTCTTACAAGCTTCAGCGTAATATTTTTGATTATCCCTACGTGACATTTTACACCAACATTTTGCGTATTCAACCGCCACTCCTTCCTGAACCGACGGAAATAGTTCAAGAAAGGATTGCTGGTGATCAGACCCTGGCGATGACAGTTTCTACTAGAGGATCTGCTACTACTCCTCTTACGTTGGAGATGTCGCGCAGAGGTTCTACGTCTGCGGCGTTGACTGCAACTGTGTTTTCTTCTGACGCAGACAATTTTCAATACGACTCAATATATTAGTTCTTCACTTTATGAGAAATTTGTGAAATTCAATGGACCTTTCACCTAGCGCTTCTTTCGGGGATTATTTTACGGCAGATGTACAATTTATTGTAGATAAATAATAACATTGCTATCCCTGCTGTTATGCAATAATACCTTCCAACCAATAATCTAATAAAATTTTCCCTCAATATTGTCATGATGAGACAGCAAATTGGAAAGACAATATTATTTTTCATCCACCAGACATACGAAACGACACATTTGGATCTCCACCTCCTTCGACGTCTTCTTTACTGCGTCTTCTTCTGGTCCTACTGGGCTTGCGTCGCTTTCTCCTGCTACGACTTTCTACGTCGTCCTCTTACAAGCTTCAGCGTAATATTTTTGATTATCCCTACGTGACATTTTACACCAACATTTTGCGTATTCAACCGCCACTCCTTCCTGAACCGACGGAAATAGTTCAAGAAAGGATTGCTGGTGATCAGACCCTGGCGATGGCAGTTTTTACTAGAGGATCTCCTACGACTCCTCTTACGACAGAGACGTCGCACAGAGAGAGGTTCTACGTCTGCGGCGTTGACTGCAACTGTGTTTTCTTTGACGCAGACAATTTTCAATACGACTCAATATATTAGTTTCTTCACTTTATGAGAAAATTTGTGAAATTCAATGGACCTTTCACCTAGCGCTTTTTTCGAGGATTATTTTACGGCAGATGTACAATTTATTGTAGATAAATAATAACATTGCTATCCCTTCTGTATGCAATAATACCTTCCAACCAATAATCTAATAAATTTTCCCTCAAATATTGTCATGATGAGACAGCAAATTGGAAAGACAATATTATTTTCATCCACCAGACATACGAAACGACACATTTGGATCTCCACCTCCTTCGGCGTCCTTCTTTTACTGCGTCTTCTTCTGGTCCTACTGGGCTTGCGTCGCTTTCTCCTGCAACGGCTTTCTACGTCGTCCTCTTACAAGCTTCAGCATAATATTTTTGATTATCCCTACGTGACATTTTTACACCAACATTTTGCGTATTCAACCGCCACTCCTTCCTGAACCGACGGAAATAGTTCAAGAAAGGATTGCTGGTGATCAGACCCTGGCGATGGCAGTTTTTACTAGAGGATCTCCTACGACTCCTCTTACGCCAGAGACGTCGCACAGAGAGAGGTTCTACGTCTGCGGCGTTGACTGCAACTGTGTTTTCTTTGACGCAGACAATTTTCAATACGACTCAATATATTAGTTTCTTCACTTTATGAGAAATTTGTGAAATTCAATGGACCTTTCACCTAGCGCTTCTTTCGAGGATTATTTACGGCAGATGTACAATTTATTGTAGATAAATTGTTTGTGTATAGTGGACTGTATTTTTATTGATTACATTTATGTTTTTGTTCAATGTATTGTATGTACATTTCATGAGAAACTGTCGTAATTGAAAAATTGTCTATACCGAACAGATTTCTTGGTTATGGTCAAAATGGTAGCTTCTTCCGGCCTCTCTCCTGGTCGCTCCGAGAGGAAGGCATCCCATTGGACCGTTCAAAATTCAACGGTCTTCCGGTCGGCAGTGGTAGGCTGCGCGCTGGATGGTGGCGCGCTCCTGCGGGAGATGGTCGAAACCCATTTGCCAGTGGCGTAGCACATACATAAATAATAACATTGCTATCCCCTGCTGTTATGCAATAATACCTTCCAACCAATAATCTATAAAATTTTCCCTCAAATATTGTCATGATGAGACAGCAAATTGGAAAGACAATATTATTTTTCATCCACCAGACATACGAAACGACACTTTGGATCTCCCCCTCCTTCGGCGTCTTCTTTACTGCGTCTTCTTCTGGTCCTACTGGGCTTGCGTCGCTTTCTCCTGCT